AACAACAGTGATGGCATATAATTTGTATATGTGCATGCATATTTTCTTCTCTTTTTCTTCCAGAGACCTTTTTTATTTTTATCGTTTTTATCTTTACTTGTTTATGTATTTTTAGAAATGTTTTATTTTATTTTTGTTATGTAATATGTATTCAGTTTATTTTTTTAGTTCAGTTTTCTAATTCAGTTATTTCGTAAAATTTCATCTCTCTAATTGTCTTATTTAGTTTATATTTTTTTCTCTTATCATAAATATGGACAGTATGAATGTGGATAAGAACTCGTCAAGCGAAGATTCAGAAGACGAGAAGACCTTTTCTGAATCAGCGAAACTGACTCGCAATAATTTAAAAGGCGTATACTTCAAAAACCTAGCAGGAAAAAAATTAATTGAATAAATCCAGTCAACTGAGCAAAATAAATCATCACCTCAAAAAAGAAGTAAATCAAATGTCATAAAATCAGAACCAATTCCACCAAGCACCACCAGAGAATTCTGTCCCTGCCTAAAACTCACCAAAATATAATATAATAACTTAACAAATACGATTTCGGAGCCTCAAGAAATTTCTGACCCCGAAACGCCACCGATTTTCGTTTCTAAAATGGATGATTTCTTCTCATTTGTTCAAGAAATCGCTAATCTAATCGCAAAACAAATTGTTGACATTAAGATTAATACAAATTCTAAAGAAAATCTGTTTAATATAAAATTTGTTTATAATAAATTACTTCTCGATTAATAACTAAGATTTTCATTGTTACCGATTAAATCAAGAACAGGAATATCTAGTGGTCTTGGTAGGTCTACACTCAACCACCCCATATCTGTTATCGAACTGGAAAAATAGGCCATAACGTTAGGCACATATCGTGCATACTACACTCGACGGAAAAATATTTATTGTCGTCATTTTTGATTGATTTAGAGCCTGCTAGTAACAATACTAAAATATTTCAAGTGAAGAGGCTGGTATGTTTAATAGTGAAATTCGAGGAGCCCAGGCAAAAATCTGTGATAATACAATACTAAGTGCTAAGACTTGGGACACACCTACAGTCATTATCAGGTCAGGTGCGTCAAATGTGCCGATCCACATGCTCCTGACACTTGTCAGCAACCTGGTGATCAACTTGCGAAATGTGCTCAATCATCAGGACTTAGCTGATTTTAATGAAAAAGTTGTAACATCCTAGGGATATACCTATCTTAAATATGTTTTTTTCATTTTCGGACAACTTTTCGATTACCTGTACCCTCGTCGTAAACCTATGACTTCCTGTGCTGTTGGGCAGCGTGGCTTTCCCTGGTGTACGATCACCCATCCAAGTGCTAACCACGCTAAACGTTGCTTAACTTGGTTACCTATTACAAGCGCCTTAGCCTGCTATATATATTTCAGATATTTTAAACTCAAAATTCCATATTATTTATTTTTTTCAATAATTACTTTAACAAAAAATATATACTGTAATGACAAAAAAATAAAATAAAATCTTATAAATTTAAAATAGGTCAGTTTACTAACTCGTTAGTTTTGAATCTACTTAGGGAAAAAAAATTAATAAATTAACTTTTCTAATACGTTATTTTTTGTTTTGAAAGATTACTAGATTCCATTAAATAAAACATAAAAGATTTACGATTTTTTGCTAATGATTTTTATTAATTTACAAGTTTAAGTTATATAAACAATATTTGCAGGAAGGGAAAGCTATACAGTGTGACAATTCCACTAATATAAGAAAAAGTTACATCTTGGGGACCGAAAACATGTTGTATAATATTATACATACAATATATGTATCTTATAGCTATAATATAATCTATCCATCTTATTGATGTAATATAATCTATCTTCAATTTCAAAATCTTGGTGTACATTTTTACTTTTGTTAGATTATTACTTGACTAATGAATAACGTTGTTGAATTTTATTTCTTTAACATAACGCAATCTATCAATCTATACCAATATTCTCATATCCGTAAGAAATCATGGAATAACTATTGTATTGATTTATTGGGATAAGTTTCATCTATATATATATATATATATTATATAGATGGAATATTAACATTCATTTTGAGTTATGATACGTAACTGTAAAATATTTACATAAGTGTAAAAAATATTTAAAATTATGGGTGAAAGTTAAGTAGAAATAATTAATTTTATAAAACCCATGCCGGTATAAAAATAGTTTTACAAAGGGTCCTTTTAAAAAGCTGATTCCTATCCAAGAGGTGGAATTTAATGTTGCACCCTCGCCAACTGAGGCTGGTTCCAATTCTGATTTTTTTAGTTCTTTTCGCGTTTTCTTCTATATTTGGATCCGGGCGGGAGGTTTTTATCTGATATCTTTTGCGCGATGTTAATAAACAAGATACCGAGTATAGCCTTTGGTATAGATTACAGATACGGAATATCAACAGAGCGTGATCAGGAAATACGTAATGATAAAGTGATTTATAAGTCCGAAAGTGACAAATAACATTCCATGAGCTACCAAAAGCTATCGGTTCTGAGATAATTGTTATTGGAAGAACGTAACTAAGCATTTTGATAACTATTTAAAAAATATGACAGAAAAAAAGTATGGTAAACTAGCTCTTAACAGCTTACCTCGAAAATATTTATTTTCCGCTGTTTAATTTTTTTTTTTAGTTTTTAACCTGTACCTCTACAACTCATGAAGAATTTTTGGGCTCCGTACTTTGATAGGAAGTACTGTTTCAAGGTCAACGGTTGTGCAGAGAAGTGTTCGGGCCAGGATCACGTTCAGTCTCCAGATTTCCCCCTTAATTAATTATTTAATTAAGACTACCCAGTTTTTAGAGAGTGGGTGTGCCCCGGGCGGGGTTTCCAAATCCCATGATCAACTCACGGCTGATGAAAAATATTTGACATCAGTTGGATTCCAACCCGGGACCTTGCCTAACTCACTGAGCTACTCAGTTCCATTTCCCGCCCTTACAAAATTAAATATATAAAATTAAATTTACAGTAAAATAGAACCTAAGTCTGTGATAAATATATCTATAATACATACAGTAACATAAGGAGAACTGCCAATTAAAATTTAAACAGCAATTCTTGACGTTTTAAAAATTTCTACATGAATTTTTTTTTATTATTTAATCAACATTCTTATGTCACTATATATAAAATCTTATATGCATTTAATTGAATACATTACTTTTAATTGTACTGTGCTTCCTATTGTAACATATACGAGTATAATATATTTATCTTCCCGCCAAATTTAATTTGATGAGGTAGGTTCAAATGGTAGATCGTCAGAGTTGTAGAAATTCTGGAAATATATTTCAATATGTTAAAAAATAATATTTATATTACGAGTATTAAAACATAGTTGTTAAATTATTCTTAAAAGGAAACTTATTTTGTCTCAAATATTCATGAACTGTTTCACAAGATACATCTTCGGGATCCCCAGGCGTTCGCATGTTTCATTCTGGTACGAGTTGAAGTGGCTTTATTCTACTTCCCGACGACAATTCCTCCTTGGTGTTTTCCTTTTCCAAGTCCTCAGGACCAAAAATTCTCTCTACATCCTGAAACTCCTTACTGTTCGCTCCTCTATCCATTCTCTTAATACTAGGTCTCATCCTATAGATTTATATATCTCCTCCCATAAAATTACCTTCCTACAGCAAACCCTTTGTCATTCGTGCTGCTTCCTTATGGAACTCTCTTCCTACCTCCATGCGTCAATCCTCTTCCACAAATTCCTTCAAACAACTCCAGTTCCAACACCTACTCCCCATTCAAACTTCCGCTAACATGTAAAATTTCTTTCATATTTTAGGCAATAACTCTGATGATGGGGAAATTGTCCCGAAACGTAAAGGACAAAGAGCATAAATAAAAAAATATGAAGAAAATTGGAAGAGTTATTGCCTAAAATATGAAAAAATTATAAATGTAAGCTTCCTAATAAAAAAAGAAAAATAAGAAGATAACTAAAAAGTAAAATTTCTTGTATCTGCATACTGTTTAATTTCAACTACTGCACGCACAATTGCAATAACAATAAGCAGTTAATTAGTTTGTATTTTTTATTATTTTAAGCCAGACTAATACCCATAAATTTGTAACACTGTTATCATTCTTAGGGGGCTGTAGTGCCAGAATATAATTTTTTTTCATTCATTCATTCATACCTATAAAACACTAATTATTATTAAGATAAAATGATAATTACAAACTTTATTCTCAGTCAGTCCTCAATGTTGAATTAGAGGTTAAAGCAACACTAAGCTATAATGTATATAACTATAGGATAAGCTATATTTTTTATTAAGAATACTCGAAATGAGGAAAAACATTAATATAGGGCTGCTTTCGGTAAACTTTTATTTAAAAAACTTCCATTATTTAGCTTATGTAATGTACAACAATAATTGTCAAAAATCAAAATCATATATTTCATTTTTTGTATAAGGAATACATAATCTTTTGTTTTTATATTTTATTTTATGGCCTACAATAAAATAGAAAGTTCGTTATACGTAGTGTCTTAAAATGTTTTTTATTCTCTTTATGGCTTCATGGAAATAAAAAAAAAGTAACATAAATGATATGTAAAATCATCTTTTGATTAACTTTAATGATTATTGGTGTGATAATACTAAAATGTTCTAATATTTTGTAAATTGATCAATATATATATATATATATATATATATATATATATATATATATATATATATATATATGTTGAGGACAGACATTGAGACAATTTTATGAGATCTCTAATTATTGGTCCATGCTAATTTTTTTTTTATCGTTCTAATTTTAGTATATGTAACGCCGAAGCGAGTAGGTAGAGTGTGAATGTGCTGTCTGAACACAATTATAAACGTTCTTAATTGTGGCAGATTGTAATATTTCTCAATAAATAAATTTTTTTTTTAATAATTGGTCATATTAACTTTCTTGTTAATAAATTTGTCATACATTTTTATTATTTTAAGGATGATCCTGGTGTATCCAGCCTTCCAGTGAACTATAGGCAACGCCATGTATACACAGCAGCGTTCCGGGACATGGAATCCAACCACCAAGAATAATGTTCTCCAATAATTGATGGCCAACTTACATAAATTGTAAGTATTTAATTTTATAGTTTATGGTAAAAAAGACTTTACAAGATCTTATATATTTTTCTCTCTTATATATATATATATATATATATATATATATGTATATATATTTGGCGTTCTTTAAAATATTTGTATAGACCTAGGTAAGACATTTTCTTACGGTTTCCTCTCATATTTAAATTCTTATTTATAACATGGTAGACGTCAATTTCCTTAACAATCAAGGTATTTAAGTTAAAATGAAAATACACTCCCTTACAATTGGTCAGATTATTTCAGTAGTCAGTTATTTTTTTTTAATATCGACTTATTTATTTAACGTTTTTCGTTCTTCAAGTGTTGGCAATTGATACATCTATCACATACGAACATACATATAAATATTATATGATATGTAACAACAAAAAGTGAAGAATACTTAAAATATAATAAATGTATTACTTTTATAATAATTGGACTTTGATAAGAGAAGTAATTTACCTTGTATGAATTACTTCATTTTAATGTTTCGATTGTTTGCGTTGTTAGATATTTTGGACTCAAATAAATTATCAAAAGTCACAACACATCACATTTACTCTAAGACTAGAAACATGCCCTGCTGTATACTTAGACAACATACCGATTCCACAAACAGATACAGTACAATACCTAGGCCTGACGTTTGACAGAAGAATGACTTGGGATCCACATGTAAAGAAAAAACGTGCATCATTAAATCACAGATTAAAATTATTGCATTCATTATTAAGCAAGACAGAAATTAAATATTTATACATACCTATTAAAACTTCTCTGGACTTATGAACTACAAATATATGGAATTGCAAAACCAACACACATTAAACGACTTCAAACTTTTCAGTCTAAAATACTACGACTAATTACCCAAGCACCCTGGTACGTGAATAATAACACTTTACACACTGACTTACACATGCCAACGATCAATGAACATACAAACTTACTACAAACGATTTCATAATAAATTACATGGACACTCCAACCAGCTAATTAAAGAAATGGCCACTACTATTATGCCGGAGAACTCCAGAAGACGACTGAAAAGGGTCTGGATGAGGGACCTACTTACGTAATTGTATGTAAGTAAGTAAAAGCCATGGAAGGGATGTCGCTGGGTATTGCTTTTCCTCATGCCTATCAAGCCTTTTTATTTTATTTTTTTTATTTTATTTTATTTTTCTCATGACTGTGCCAGCACATCTGCCGATTGTCAATATTTATAATTGACAGGTGCGGATAAATATATGTAAGTGCAAAAAAAAAAAAAAAAAAAAGATATTTTGGCGAAATCAATAAAAGTTTTCAAGTAAAGTTTTACAGAACGTTTTAATAAAACATTAGTTGAAAAATTGCAAAACAATAACTTCTAATTAAAACATCTGGTGTGTCCACTCACACGACTTTCCTACCTATTTAAGAATAGTCTGTATATGTTCATGAAGAAACAAACAAAAAAATTGAACTAGATTTATTTTTCTGAAAATTGATCAAAGAAAAGATTTGAGTACGATTTATTTGATAAACTAAAGCAATGTAAACCGACTTAAGGTAGATCACTGTAAAAATGTCAATACTCTCTAATATTGCTGATCAAAAACTTTTTGCAATAGCTTAGTATTGTGAAACAATAATTTCTGTTAAAATTAGGAAGTGAAAGAAATAGTGAAGCTTGTGTGATGCTGGCGACAGATTTTATTACTTAGTCATCTTTTGTCTCTCATTCACCCCTTTCTGACACCAGTATATGAACTCGTAATCTTACATTGGAAATGGAATAGCTTTAACTTCGTTAATAGTTGTCCAAAATGAACGAATTTTATATAGTTTTGTAGAGAATATCATTACCTTTCAAAAAAAAAACAGGCTAAACGCTGTTTAGTACTAATATAAGCAGGGGGCTGTGAAACGTATAGATCCGTCGAAAACCGCATGTCGGAAATTTGACCCGATTGCAATACTTTCCTTACCTAGTATAGGTAGGAAAGTAATCAGTTAAAACATGAGTAAAAAATAGAATAAGCTGTATCATCCCTAATACTGGTTCGATTCCGATGATTTTTATTTATTTTTTTTTTGGTAATTTAATTACCTTTCAAAACTTTTATTACAAATTTTACCTGATAATATATACTTAGGGAGTTAAGCCCCATAACATTTTCCTTTTCTTTATAACTTTTTTCCTGATTTTTTTTGGGAATTTAATCCATATACAAAAATTGAAAGGACAATTATGAGAACATTATAGGAAAGTTTCATCAAAATCGTTAGAGCCGTTTTCGCGCTACAGTCTATAGAAAAACATGTTTTTCATTTATTGCGCGCAAGGTATTACGACGTATGGACGTATGAACGTATGTAGCACCGAATTTCTGTCATATCAGTAGTCAAACCTCTACAAAATAAAAAAAGAAGCAACAAAATCGGTTAAGTAGTGCTCCAGAAAATCTTGGCACAGCCAGACAGATCAATGGCTAAAAATGTGTTTTTCGGACTAAGAAGGCTCTGAAAGGTACAGATCCGTCGAAAATCGCATATCGGAAAGTTGACGCGATTGCAATATTTTCCTTACCTAGTATAGGTAGGAAAGTAAAAAAACAAAAACAGAATACGATTGAAAATGAAGATTCTTGTCTTACCGAAACTGATTCAAAATAAATGTTAAAATTTTATTTCAAGCCCTGTTTTCCTTTTTTTTTTTATAAATAATAAGCAGTGATAGTTTTTGGTAGAGTGATAAATGATAATATTTTTATTAGCGTAGCAGAATCACCTATAATCTATGATTATATAGATTAAAATTACCAATTAATCAAACAATAAACGGACTAAATTGGTTGCAAATAAACCAGTAAATTGCATAAAATCTTGCCAAACTATATTTAAGACTAAGCATTCTGGAAACAACCTGGCGCCAAACCTATCCTATTAAAATAACAGCCGGCTCTGCCAATGCAGGGAGGCTATGTAATCCCTTCAACTCATTCTACTCACCTTTAAATTGTTCTTCCATGATATGTTCCTTAAGCATAGGGGCATACTTCGGAGGAAAGGGGGGTGATTGTCCCTTCCTCCCCCCAATAAAAATAAAGATAGGGCGAGAATATCGTTTCGAAGACATTTTTTCCCTCCCCACTCAATATTTCGAAAAGCAAAAATTTTATAAAAAAAATCAAAAACATAAAAAACTGAGGTTTGTGCTTTATACCACACGATAGAAGTGAAAAAACCAACAAGGCGATATTAATAATACGAAATATAAATTACTAGTTGGCCCTTGCGAATAATTCCCAGAAAATTTTGTTTAGTGAAGAATAGCAAAATAGAATGGAAATAAGTAGATTCTATGTATTATCTGAAGGAATAATTAATCGTTTTTCCTTTGCCAATTACAATATTCCATTTAACATAATAGACCGAAAAAATTGGTCAAATTGCTTTGCTAGGACATGTTTTTAAACGCTGATTGGAAAGATAATAAAGACAAAATAAAGACTGGATCATGAGATTTTCTAAATTATTAAAAAATATAAAATGTAAGCACAAAAAAATCTCTTTAAGAAATAAAAAGTTAATATATCAGTCAGGAAAAAAAGTGTAGTATAATAGTTAATTCAGAATCTTTAAAGAGGAAGAAATTATTAAATATACCAAAATTAATGGAATGTAACTTTGTAAATAATTGTCCGATTTTTTTTAGTTTTGTAGGTAATTTAGTAATCATTCAGATAATCATGGGTACAATCAAGAAAAAAATGCATATTTTTTGAATTATAAAGTTTCTTTTCCTTCATAACTTTTTTCCCAGAAAGTTCGGGGGAATAGGACTATTTTTCGCATGTGAAGGAGAACAGTATCTTCAAATTAAGTGGTCAGTCATTGAATTTAATGAAGAATTGACGAAGTTATGGCGCACCGAAAAAAAAAAAAACACCTTTTAAAAAAAATATATTAGATAAATAATAGCTGATCATAAAAAGGAGGAAATGCTGAACATTCCCTCGCTTGCATTATGCAGATCCAATTTTTAGTTTCTGAGATATTTTAATCCATATTTCCATAAAACTCATTTTGTTTTCACACCATTTTTTCCTTTCCACCTCCTCAACACGGCATCGCGTTAAGACAAAATTTTGTCCATTAAAGAGAGGATGAATTGCTGAACTATTCCTTCGCTTAAAGAACGAACTCCCGATATGTAGTCTCTGAGATATTTTAATCCATAACTTCAATAAAACTAATTATAATTTTTTTTCGACACTATTTTTTCTCTTTTTCCCTCTCTAAGACAGTGTCGTGATGAGATACGATTTTGAATTATAGTCTACCATAGAGAGGATGAAATGCTGAACAATTTACTCGCTTACTGTATGCAGGCCCGATTTTTAGTTTCTGAGATATTTTAATCCATAAGTAAAATCATTTCAACTAGTCGACTGTAGCCGACTTTACCCGAGCGTTAATATTTCGGAAATATGACAGATCAATGTAATTCACTCTCCACAAAAAAGTACAAAACGCGCCTTAAGATGTTTTCACTTCAATAAATCTAAATGAATGAATAAAATATGTAAACTAAAATCAATTAAGAAAATTAGAAAAGTCTAGATGGCTAAGTGGCTAATAGTGGTCGAGAGTCTGTTAATAAGAACTACACAGAAAAAGAAGTACGCAGGTATTTCGTCTCGTCCGATATTATTGAAATTTTACTTTATATTTAAAGATAATTGTTATATTGTTTAGTTTTTATTGAACAAATACATTAATATCTTATTGTTCATTTTACAATAATTATGTTGATTCTGTTAATTATTATGCATAATATTTATACGTCATGTAAAATCCCGAGACTTTTTTGGGTGGGGGAGAGATTCAACCCCCCTCCCTATCCCTCCTCCCGACCAGAACGGAATGCCTGTGCCTTTGGCCTCAGGTCTTTCGCATAAGTGTCTGAATTAATATTGATAGTATTTGGAGCCATCCTAATGTTCTAGGTAAAGCAGTTGCATCCAAACCTGGACAAATCAGAAGAAATATTTTAATATGTAAAATAAAATACATTGCTTGTAACTGTACTTTTCTTTTTAAACTACTAAAATGTACTTACTTATTATTTTATTTATTTATTAAAGCCCTTCCGTGCCCTTGAGGTAATACGGGTTTTGCTGAACTTAATTGTTACACATGACTCCTACTACTGTGTACTAGTGTGCTGGACCTACTGCTTCTTTCCAACAGTACACAAATCCTTTGTAGTATTCTTGTGTTACTGGCTAAGGGATATAGATCTCTGTGAGAACATAGAGATCGGACTCCTTCAGTAATTTGGTCCGTAACGACTCAAAGGCGTTGCATACAAGTTCATGATAATGTGCTGAGCAGCCTCCAGGATTCCACAACTAGAGCATAGAGGATCGATGTTTTTTCTAAGCCCATGGAGCTTGACTCCAAAGCCACCATGCTCTGTAAGGAATTGAGAGATCCAGTAATCCGGAGGATTCCAGGCTTCGTCCCGGAGGAACCGCTTGGCTTCCAAACGGGATTGAACGGTGGAGAAGTACTTCCTCAAGGTGACCCTATCTGGCTTGTTACCCACCGTTGATTCCAATCTTCAATTGCATCCTCCCGGATTATAGTTTTCCATTTCCTGGGGTTTACATCAATCTTCACTTTATGATTTCCCGGTAGAACTGCTGACCTTCTTTCTTATACTTTAACATATCTTTAACGTATTTGTATTTACTTTCAGAGATACTAAATTACAAGAAATGTACTTTTATTTTCATTATAAATATATACAATAAATAACCGAATTGAGGAGGTTCCGCTTGAATTATAGTAGCAAGGCTGATCGTTTTCAAAATAATTATTAGAGCTTGGATCTGAACCTAAATTTTCAAGGAATAGATGGCAAAACTCAATTTTTAGATGTAAACCTTTTTAAAAAATATAGTATAGCACAGAATAGTATTTTAAAGTTTAATTATTATTAAACATGAAAAACATAAATGTACATGGTACAACTGAGGATTAAATCATAAAATTTTAAAAGAAGATTTAAGAATTAACATTACTTAATAACAAAAACGTTATGTCTCTAAACTCACAACTAATTTCGTCGATGGATTTTACCAGTAGATTGAATGTAACATAAATGGATAGCGATTAATACCAAGTTTAGGAACGATCAGGTGGGATCCAGCGGATGGTTAACATTGCTAGGAGATCACTAAAAAAAAAAAAAACGAAAAAAAGAAAAATGCCTGTCAATCTGTTGAATTTGATAACAGATATAAAGAAGACAAGTTTGTAAAATCATCGATAAGATCGCTTCCCAAGTTTTGAGACGGATCCTTGCCAACGATGAGCTCAGCACTGAGTTTAGAAACTTGCCCATTTAGGAAGAAAGAATTTGAAGATAAATTTGTAAAGTGAATTGAGATATAACAACACTGAGATAACATATTGTAAATTGACCCAAAAGACACTCCTGATCCATCGGTGATTCAATCGATGAATAAATAAACGCTCTGGATTACATCGATGAGTTAGGAACTTGCCCGAATATTTATTAGTTTGTAAGATAATTTCTGCTAATTTTCTTTAAAATATTATCTCAGAATTCAGCCAAATGTTATTTAATCAAAATTATTTTTAAAGTCGATTTTGAAATAGACAATGACCGTTTCGTTAAAAATAAAGATATGATAGAATTTTTCATTTTTCATCGAGTCGGTAATGAATAATTTGCTTTTTTCTTCAATAAAGCATCACATCCATATTCAGAGATTTAGTATTAGAGAAAAACTTTTTTCCATTTTATTTTGGAATGGAAACGAAGGAAATTGTCTATGTCATTGTAGACCGTAAAGCAGTAAATTATGTAAATACCGATGTTCAACGTCTTTTGACCAAATTTATAATTTTAAAAACGTTCATGAATAGAACTGACTGCAAATAAAATTACCAGTTTGTGACAAACGAAATAAATCTTTTGTCTGGATGTATTCGAAGAATCTTTTACTCAACAATTCACGTGTTTTGCACTGATTTTGGAACTAACTCATTTTCAGCATTTTATACTCTGAAAATCACTAATTAACACAGATAAATAAAAACATTCTGATAATTAGTATATATACAGATACCACTCTTTCACGTAAGACGAAAACCGATAAAGGGATAAAATCAAGCGTTTTAGGGAACGTATGTACTTTCGGAAATAAAAACTGAATTAAATAAAACGCCAATGTGTAAACAGCGGTTCCATTCCCCCATGGGGACGGCAATGTCCTCAGCCAGAAATTCACACACAGGGAGTTGAGCGACCCATGTGCCTTACACCATAGACCCTGGTCTTTTAGATTGAGGACTGGGCATAACCAAATCCCTTAAAAACATCTTAGTAAGAAACCAAATGGAAACCTCGGAATGACTTGTAATGTCGAGTTCTAACATCTGTGTAGTCTCTGAAGCCTCCAAAGTCCACTCTCCTTCAGAGGACCCTGCAAATAAAATTATTCATATAGACCACGAAATTTATTCTAGTTGTGTAGATTTGGTGCGAAATAGATATACCACTTGCCAATTGCAAAGATGTTTCCCACTCAAACCCATAGTCATCTGATTCAAATAGTCCTATTGAATTCTATAGTGTCCCCACTGCCGCCAATGTGATCTCGATGCATTCCTGAATGACTGCAGTCTTCCCTGCTATCAAGTTCTTGCTCCTTCCAAGGTATTTGTACCGACATTTTCACCTCATTTCTTCATTTGACGGAATTTTTACTCCTCCAGACCTCCATACCCTTCTCCAAGGACACTCTCTGTTACTTCTCTGAAATATTTGAATTTGATTTTTTTTCCCACTTCTTTTTTAGGCTTTCCTATTGGTAGAATATTAGTTCCCCCTTCTACCTCTTATTCTTTAGAATTTTTAAGAGTGCTGCGGCTCTTTTTGATCTTTGTCATAGGCTAAGCTTATCTTGATGATACTCGAAGCATTTTGGCAACATGCGTTCAGGGGTGCCCATCCCCCTCAAGGCCGATGGTGCACAAACCTCCCACCCCCTCCCACCCCTCCCAAGATATTTTATTCTTCTCTTCTTCTTAAAAACAGTGTAAACGAAAGTAGAATTTAAATATCCGTAGATTATATACAATTACAGATACTGCGGTCTGTTCCATGCTTCCACTTGTCTTAAAATTTGAAACTTTTCATTTTGAAATTTCATAACCCCGTCTAAATTTGCTCCCCTTAAAAATTGAAAAACGCTTCAAAAAGTTCCCCCGTCATAAATTTTCATGACGCTATGAAATCCCGTTCTGAGCACTCCTGCATGCGTTATCTTGCGGGCCCGCCGTCCGCGAACCAGCCACTGTCGCCCAGACTTGATTCCAAGCTCGGCATCCGGCCTACCATCAATATTCTGTTGGCAATGTTTAAACATTTTGCACTAGAATGAATCTATTTCAAATTTATGAAAAATATATTTCAATTAAAACATTACTATCCTCAATATATAACAATATTAATAATACATATTATACTCATTACCTAGGTATATTTTTGTTATTGTAAATAGAGTAATTGTAAGAAATTAGTTTTCATTTTTTAACCATGTGTTTGTAATTCGATATAATATATGTATATATACTACTTATTTATTTATAAACATCTAAGTAGACCAATAATCTTGAAAAAAACATTAATTACTTTTATAATTAAATATTAACATCGAAATGACCTGTCATGGGCAGACGGTAAATAAACTTGGCCTAACCATCAAGTTTTGTTTTTCAACTTCAATAGTTGAATCACTTTTTTTAAATTCGTCTTCTAACCTCATGTCCCTTATGATACACCAATCTCTGGGCATATTGGACAAAAATCTAAAACCGTCAGTCGTAATAATAACCGGATCGCTCACTTTGACCACGATGTCTTCGTAATCACGCAGGTTAGGCGTAAGATACTGCACAAAAACTGAATTCTGGTAGACCTCGTCCAATGTACGCTTAGCGAAATAACAACCAGATTGAATTAAGTATGACTTTCCTAACTCCAGTTCCTTAAGATCTTTGCAACCTACGTCCATAGACCGGACAAGACGAGAAGGTATCAGAAGTCTGGCTACGCCATTTTCAAATGCCCCTTCAACTGTACCACGTAGTAAGTCAGATTCGACCAAAAATTTTAGGAGATATTTTTCTGCGGTTCTACGTAGACATTCCATAGGCAAACCTACTTTCAAATCCTGAAAGATACATTGCCTCATTCCTAACATTGCTTCGTATGCTTTTTTCTGGAAACGGTTAAAGTTTTCGCTTACAGGTATGACAATCCCCAAAGATAGCTTATGACCAAAATAGGATGCCCCCGCTTCTATAATGCACACTTCACCTTCTTTGAACACTCTTTCTCGCCTAGAGAAATAAGATCGTCTTATGTACGAATCGTGATCCATTTTATCACTTCCAGAAAAAATGCAGAACGTCAGCTGATCAAAACCACTCTTGTAGGTCATGAAGAAACAGTACCAAGCTTCCAACTGGTTGTGAGTCATGCCTGGCCTGAGCCTGTGAATGATTTGAATTAGGGCACTCTCTAAATTCTTTGCAATATAACACAAAATTTTTATCTCTTTTTCTGTCTTGTATGCCATGAGGTTATGCATGACTTGGCGAAGTTCGTTAGACTCGACTTCATACTTAAACATACATGCTGGCAGTTCCGGTTTCTGATAGTCCAATATTAGAAATTCACTGCAATCAGTTTCCCATAAATATTCCAGCAATGATTCAAGTTCTTCCAAATAATAAACACCATTCACCCAAAATTGTTTTTTTATTTCTCTCCTCATAGCTTGTTTCTTACAACATTCCAAATCGCAGCTTAAACGTGGAATAATTAAATATGATTTATTTTTGAATACATCGATGATACCAATGGCTGCAGATTTTTGGTACCCGAATGACCAGAAAAATTTAGAGTCCTGTACATAGGTTCTTTTAGCAAGGCAGCATGTAGAACCAGCCGCTTGGATGACTACGATAGCGTGTGGTCTACCTTTCCGCAGTTCCTTTAATAGTCTTTTCCTGTTATCATGGAATACAGTGATAGGAACCTTCAAAGTCATTTGTCCTTTTGAAATTGATGGGACTTCAGGACATGTTTCATAAATATCCTTCCATCTGGGCTCGTTCTTTATGTATTTTTTGTATATCGACATGTCAATCAATTTCTTTCGAAATTTTGAAATAAATTATTTAACTCCAAAATTTATTTGTATGTTCTAAATCATTTGAATTAATATCTGATCATATGCAATTTTCGAAGTATATATAGTTGCTTCGGATTTTCGCCGAAATCATGATATTTTCGCCAGCAAAAGTGGACAATGACTCCACTATTTCCATAAGCAAAATATCAGGTTTCTTGTGAGGGTCAGTGTGACCTGTTAAAATGTTTATATTATATTTATATTCACATAGGGCATATTACTTAGGTTACTTTCTGACAGATGATAGAACTTCGTCATAAAAGTCTTTTTTTTTTATTTCCCGCCATAACTAGCAACAGAAATTATATCTTGTAAAAATTTTAGGGTAGCTAATTTAGTAATGATTTTTTAAATTCTTGATTTCATGTGTAGTTTTTTTATGTTTTGGATTACTTATAATCCCCATATTCTTAACATTTCAAATATCAATGATGTTTATTTTTAGTTTTGTACGACAAATGTCAGACATATGTACAAAAAGATAAGTGAAAAATAATTGTTGTTATAAAATTTTAAAAACATATGTAAAAGTTAGTAATCATATGATAACAAAAAATTAAACAACCACCAAATGTTAACATACAAATTCGAGAAACCTTCGCTAAATTTGATTTATTTATACAGATTTTAAATATTTGTATATACTGAAAATTAATATTTTATTATAACCATTCAACTTATAAATAGTATATTGAAGTACTATGGTGACCATCCATTTCCCTCCCCTCCCATCAAAGATGATGGCACATGTAAGAAAATGTATTGATCTCCTCATGTCAAAAACGGTGTAAATAAAGGTAATTCCTCCAAAAAGGTAAAATAATATATAAATTGGGCCTTCGATATTCTATCACTATTTTGATCCCAGATCGCTCAGGCTATCTTGTGGAGGAATTTTTCTCATATATTCCAATAATTTTTTCTAGAATTCTAATTAAAGTCCAGATCTTGCAGTCATTTATCAGAACTGGTTTTATCATAGTGACATATAAAGAATTGCATACATATTTTCGAAATTCATGAGCGATTGCAGGAATCGCAAAGGTATGTCATGCCTTAGTATAATAGGAATAACTCAAAAACATATGAAAATATACTACTGGCCCATTTAGATGGAAGTGAGGCGACGCCTGGTAAAATTTCCCCCCGGGAGACTTCAATCTACTCAACGGCTATAGCGATGCGTCGTGTGTGCTTTGATAGTACAGCTTCTTCTAGAACAAAGCTTTTAAAAATAAACTTTAAAATTACATGCTACAATAAATAATGTAAAAGTAACAAACTCATATGACCTATAACCAATAAATAAGGTGTTACACTAAATTCTCATTCAGAAAAGGTTCTCGGTCTATAGAAAATTACTTCATAGAATGCGACAAGAAAAGACGAAGCACAGAATGTAAGTAGTCGTAGACCACTTCAAATTGGTAAAGTTGAACAATTGTTGACGGTATAACTTTCCTGCCGATAAAAGAGAAGTTAGTTTGATAAAAGAGTTATGTGACAGAAACTGCCACAATATTTATTCTGAGAGACATGGAAGAAAATGATTCTCCCTTTCATTGGAATGATTTTAGTTTTTATCGAAATGATACAGATGCAAAGACATTTTATTTATGTAAAAACAATCACTTATAAATATCAGAGTATTTATCATAATAATAATGATAATAATTAACACTCTGTAGGCAGAAAGCCTATTTATTTTATGTATTTATTTATTTTAGTTTTATATATACATATTTTTGAGTTCTACCAATGGGTAGTTTCTCTTCATGTTGTACATGCCATGTTACAAATTTCTCATTTACTTATTGTATTCTCTATGTAATACAGTTGTAAATTCCATTAAAATAATAAAAAAAATATCTACACATATTTATTTATATTCTAGTGGATATTGTACATATCGCTACTGTTAGTGCAAAACATCCCATGTAACTATTTTCTATAATAATTCTATTTGTGCTAAAGATAACGTTTTTGCAGTATCCAACTGCAATAAGTAGTCTGCTACTATGGAAAATAGTATAGGGGAATAAAAAATGAAATTATACTTACAAATCTTTGTTGTTTTTTTTATTTTATTAAGAAATAATAAATTTTCCCCCACCTAAGGGCATTGAGTATTAGAGCTGTGTGAGGCTCATTCATACAGTATAGACAATAACAAAAAAACAATATAAAAATATAACAAAAGAAAAGAAATTGGAGATAACATTAAATAAAAATATATAAGTCATAAAGAAATTATCTGTTTTATTCTCTTCTGTAAACAAAAGTCAATTTTTTCATACGACCTTTTACATTAACAGTAGCGATATATCTCATATATGAAGATAAAAATAAGCTGATAAAAATAAGCGATGAAAACGTATTAATAAATGTTGTATGTTATTTAATAGTAAATGTTATAAATAAATCTTCTGATTAGTGGGCTAGGAGCAGCATATTATGGCAAAAGTTTTATTTAAACCAGTATAAATAAAACCAAGCAATAATTATCTGTTGCATAATATCTTAACTCAAAATTACATTGTTTAAAAATCATAATTCATTTATGTTTTGTGGTAGATTGCTATAACAAAATATTTTTATTATAACAATACAGTTCTTTTTTTACTTATTGCTGATACCTATAATAGTGTGGTACTATGGAAAATAATATAGGAAAATAAAATATGAAATTATAAAGAAATAATCAGTTTTATCCTCTTTTTTATAAAAAAAAAAAATAATAATAAAAAAATCAATTTCCGCATTAACAGTAGCTATATGTATTTTTTATAAAAAACACAAGTGAATAAAATTAATTTTCAAGGTAAAATTCTAAATGAATATTAATATTATTTTATTGATTTTGTACTTATATTAAACACAATAGTAATAATAATGAAAAAGATTGTAGATATCGTAAAATATTTCATCGTGGACGTTCACCCGCTTAACGTGCGACCTCCGCTATTTCGGTCCGACCAAAGATAATACCGCAAAAATACACGTTAGGTGAGCTCCAACTTTCGGGTGGCACCGAATCCCGTTAGCAGAGTAAATTATTTCGGCATCTGTCAGGTACATGGCCCGCGGTTTTAATTGGCAATCTATTATTACAAGCATAGAGGTACACCTCCTTACTTAGTTTTAGCCTAATCCTGCGATTGTAGTAATTTTAACACACAATATGTAGAGAGAGAATCACTTTATTATCATAAAAGGGTGCTGCCCAATTACATTGGGTTGCTTTAAACACAGCATACTTATTAATCGCTACAGACAATTTTCCAAAACTAATATACAATTATATAGTATTAACAACATATATGAGCATAATATACAATTTTTTTTTTTTTTATCTATATATATTTTTTTTTTTATCACAATTTTTTTCCTATATTTTTATTTATTTATTTTTTATTTTATTTATTTATTTATTTTATTTTTACTATTTCTTTAATTCACTTATTAGCACTATACATCCCTTTCTGTTCCTTCTCTCACTCTATACATTTTTCTCCTCTCTTTTCCTAACCTAATTCATAACATGCATACAAATACATAAAGTGCAGTGGACGTGGTCAATAATTAATGTAAAAATGCTCAATAAATAAAAAAATGTAATTTAAATTCTTACACAATTCATAAATATCATTATATGGATAACATGAGATTCAAATTAAATTAAGAAATTTTCTTTTAACAAAATGTTAAAACATTCTAAAAAGGAACTGATTTATTTTATTTTCTAATTTTAAGTTGATATTCTTAAGGTTGACATTCTATTGCTGTTGTGACATTTATTGCTGATTAGTCAAAGTTATGCAAATCCAGGCGTCTTCAATATCACGAATGGCATCGATTTACATCTCTTTATTATATAAAAAAGTTTTTAGTAGTGACTTTCATATTTTATTTTATTTTAGTATTAGGAGAGTAGGATATTACAGTAGTTCTCCTATTAGCTCTATAATTAGCAGTTATTATACAGCTGTTCATTTAATTACATATGTGTTGTTCTCCTCTAATATTCTACTATCCTAATACAAAAAATCTGGTGCGCGCAAAACACAACTTTCACTTACAACTCGAAAAGCAATTCTTGTCTGACAAAATTGGGCTATTACAAAAAGGTTTTGAATCGCATTTTTACTGGAGCTAAATCTTGAACAATATATTTTTGAATTTTGATCATATTCATAAATAAAAACTCATTAAGACTAGTGTTGCCCAAAATCGGTCTTGGTCTGGCACTTTGCAAGGCCAAGACCAACACCGCCGATCTGTTGCAAGACCAAGACCAAGACTGGTGAAAAAATCGTTTTTTTGAAAAAAAATTGAGGCCAAATAGTTACTAATATGTATAGATATAGTAACTAATACTTGACAATTTTAGTTACTATATGTAAAGAATTGGTGTAGCCAATATACTTTTGCATTTAATTCTTCTAATTGTTCATTCAGACTTAGGTTTCTCATATCTAAAAAAAAACAGTAATATCTCTCTTGTAATAAGCTGATAGGCAACTGCAAGACTGTTACGAGAATCTTGCGCAAGACCAAGACCTAGAACAAAACTGAGTTTGCAAGACCAAGGCTCGTCTCGCATTTCGGCAACACTAATTAAGACCATCAAAATAACATAAGCCCTATTTAATTATATCCATTGTAGGCAATATAAATCTTTTTTTAATTTTTGGCAATAACTGCATCAGTTTATTTGAAGCACATAACTGCAGTCTTTGAGATCTATAGACAAAGGGAGATTTGAAAGTACCTGCATTTGATTACGAATAAGTAAGGTCATACTGCACAATAAATTTATAGGAATTAAATCTCTATCACTTTTTAAAAGTATTTAAATTCTTATTTCTTACCCTTGAAAAATTTACCAAAAAAAAAGTTGCATGTTTTTAAATACAGCATCGACAAGTCGTTTGTCGTAACACTGATTAAAGTGTATAATGTGATTTCAGAAAGAGATTTTTTTTTTAACAAACCGACAATGTATACCTAATTTTTACTTTCATTAACCTATATATATATATATATATATATATATATATATATAATATATATAGTAAGGGAAAGTATTGCGATCGTGAACATTTTTGAATCTGAGTTTTC